GAAAAATCTGGTGTCTGCACAGATTTTGCTGCATTTAGATTTTCAAAATCTTTCAGATATTTTCAAAGGCTGCCTGTGATTGCTTTCCATTAAAAAGTGATTTTTCTCCTCCGAATAACCTGCTGTCTTTCACTCGTCAATGTGATTCCTTTCTGTTATTGGCCTCTCAAATATTAAAAAACCCTGGTGTCTTTTACCTCCCTGAGCTATTGCTACCGAGTTAAGGGAAGAGGAGCTGGCCCTGGAGCTGCTGCTGGGCTGCGGGGTGAGGAGCTCCTGCCACCCCGGGACCAGGGAGCCCAAACCTCTTTGCAAGGAGCGGATACACACCGGGGCGCACGCACACACCCCCCGGCACGCGCGCGTGCACACACACACGCACACAACGCTTTCCCCAAGCTATTCAGCAACTCCGCTTCCGTCCTGCTTGGATTTACCCTCGGGATGCAGGCAGCGATGCTCCGACATGCTCGCAAAGCCAGCGCCAGACCCACTAAAAGCAATTCCTTTCTCCGTTTCTCACCCTGAGCAAAACTCTACATGGATTTTCTTCTTTTCAGTGCAATTTTAATTAGTGCATGATGCACTCTGGGTTTTTATGAGCGTAAACAGCTTGGAAAAACTGCATGCCAGCTCCTCTACACCAGGGAGCCTCATCCTGTTCAGACTAGAAACTTCACACTGGATTTCTGAAAGCCTTTCTTAAGATGGGTTCATTTCCATGAAGAAATGGTACGATGTCAACAAATGGAAATTTTTGAACGTAGAAAAAAAAAATGTCAGGAAATTCCTGGCTAGGCCGACTTTGGGGCAAGGCTCCGCACAAAGCAGGCGCGGGATGCCAGAGCCCTCCATGGGGAGAGCTCGGTTCGCACCGCATTGCTGAGGGCTGGCAGCGAGTGCATGCACATGCACGCGTGCACGCACACACGTGCGCACACACACGCATGCACATGTGCATGCACACGTATGCCCATGCGCACACATGCCCATGCATATGCACGCGCACACATGCACATGTGCATGCACACCCATGC